TAAGTGCCGACTGCTGCCAAAGATCCAGGAGAGTAGAGATTGAGCACAGACTCTTTTTGAAGTCTACTTAATACAGATTAAATGCCCATAAAAATCCGAGCCATGAAATGAAAGGGTTTTTGTAGTTAACGTTGATGGAGAGATGGTATGTATTATTTCCCAACTGGATAGTGGCTTGCTACTTTTTGTTTCTATGGTGTCATTGTTTCTATGTACACCCCCCCCCCCCGTTTTGTTTTAATGGAGGAGGAGAAAGCATAGAATTGACACCTTCGCAGTTTGAGTACATTGTCAAGAGCTTTAAAAGTCTTGGCTTAAAAAATTGGCCTAAAAATTTAACCAATGTGTAAAATAGCCTGCCGAGGGCAGTGTGAGGTTTAGGCTTCATAAATCTTAATAATACTTTTGTGGTATATAGTGACATAAAATTTCTTAGTAGATCATTAACTTTTGCCAAGGTATAGAGTACAAATGAAACAACACTCCTCTAAAAATGTTTGATAACCTCGTGGTTTTAGGTCTCAGGAAAGGCAACTTTTTATTCTTCCTTGAGCAGGTCAGGTTGATTAATACTGTAATTGGTGGTGGTTCTTATTGTCATTGAGGAAAAAAAAAGAGTGCTTTAAAGCTAAGTTGGACTTATTGTAGTAATGTTTACTATAATACTATATTTACTATATCTACTATTTGTGTTTATTTTTGTTGCTCTTATAATTTAATGTTATAAGAATTAATCATGGCTCCCATGCACAGTCTAGATGTCTTAACCATCGTACGTGGTGATTTTGGTGTAGTCTCTAAAATAGAGGAATTGTAGCACATTTGCCATATTTTATGTTACTATTTAGATGTTGCTTTGCTTTTGTTTTTACCCATATGAAAAAAGGTTTGAAAAAAGACAGTATATAATTCTAATATTTTTTATATGCAGCTTTTTAAACAAAGCATTTAGAGACTGAGCTTTCCTTAGAAACTTTCCCTTTTTAATTTCTACTGTGTGTTGTGTGTGCCCTCGTGTGCTTGCTCGTTAAACACGCGGTACACTTTTTAACGTGGAAGGGAGGCGTGGGCTTCTTATTTAGCTAAACATTATTTTTAATACTTTAAGAATGGCAATACTGTATATAAAATCTTTTTGTGATGATTTGAACTCCTTTTTTTCTTAAAGTGTTATACTTTCTTTCATTTAGATATGGTGTCTATTTTAGAAATATTTTTTATGGCTTTTGAAATAACCAGAGAACATTTAGGACAATACAGAATTAGAAATGTATCATTGGTTGGTGTCATGAAAGCCAGGTTTGGTACATTTCAGTCATATGGCAGTTCTGTCAAGGTATTGGTTTAGCGGCATTTCATAATGCAGTTATAGTGAGCTGGCCTTTAGGATGTAATTATTAAGGTAACCAGAATGTCTTCTATCTTTGCAAAGAAGGCTCTCCCAGTCACCAGCCTACTCTTTTATCCTTTCTCATATGGAAATGCATCCGTAGATCAGAAGAAATGAAAGTATACATAGGAGGATTGTAGTGTAATTGCTCCCCTGTGAAGAACGGTGCTATTAGCCAGTTTTGAAGGTCATTGCCTCATACATTCGGATCTGATCCGTATTTCTCAGTCTTCTGCTTTTATCTATGTAAATGTGTATTTATTTGCTACATTTACTACCTGACTCTTTATTTGGGAGAAAATAGAAAAAGTGAAAAATGAAAAGACTAGCTCGTATCTTTGAGGTCAACCTTAATGGGATAATTCAAATGTCTAGACATGCTTATGTGTTATGTTTATGTATTATGTATTAATAGTTTATGTATTGTTAAGGATATATTGCAGCCATTTGAGTGGCGATATCTTTTGGACAAGTAAGTATTTTCAAAAGAGGTATTATAATATTTTGGGGGTGATAACTGAAATATAAAGCCACCATAGAAATGAGTTAGATTTTGTTTGAGACATATTTAAATCACAGATTAAGCAGTCAGGTTAAGCAGATTGTTCCGTTAGTGTTATAAATAAGCCGTGTGTACAGAGGTAGTTCTACCAAGGGGCCAGTGTTTGGATTTGACTGTGCCTCAGCTAGTCATTTTGAGACTAGGAGTGAGGGAGCAAAAGAGAACAAATGAGTGGAGTCCCGGGCTTGCCGGGGACCCCTGCACTCACTTCTGTGCCTCATTTCCCTCACAGTGGTATTATGGATTGATTATATGGCCATTGTACCAAATGAAGAAAATGGCATGGTGAACTGGTGGGCGGGCCCTGTGCCGATTGGCTAATTATGCACTAATCATTCTGTTAGACATTGATTGTGCCTCACAGGAAAGAGGTGGGTAGTATGGCTTCTGTTTTATAGATGAAAAGACGGGTCCCAGAGGTCAGAGGAATTTACTTACTGTTAGTAGGTGGCTTTACTGTATTTAAACCAATGTCTTCTCATTCTTAATCTTGTTTACCCCCTGTTCTGACTCCCTAAGTTGCTTCTTATCTTTCTGCCTTACTATCCTCATCTATATAATGGAAATATGATGCTTATTTCATAGCAAAAGGACATTGAAACACAAAGTAGAACTGGGAAAAATGTTAGTTTTTTTTTTTTTTAAGGAAAATAAGTCAGATTAAATAATAAATTGCCTTACATGATTTCTAACTAGTCCCAGAGAAGTTGTAAAATTCCATCCTGGGATAGTTTAACTTTTTATTAGATCTTTTCTTTAAAATGTAAGAACTTGGGCTGGTGAGATGGCTCAGCAGATAAAAGTGCTTGCTGCCAAGGTTGATGATCTGAGTTGGATTCCAGGTATCCACATGGTAGAAGGAGAAAACCAACTCCTACAAGCAGTCCTTTGACAACCCCTGGCCCCATTAATAAAATAAAGTCCATGAGTTCTCATTTCTCTTCTTCTGTCTTCCCTGGGTCTTTGGTTTTAGGAAGAGGTCTATTCCTGGACAATGGTTTGCCTTTTCTAAGAATTTCTGCTTCCTATTTTGTAAGTTGGTCCCTTGGTTTCATTAATGCAGAAGGAATGTTGGTAGAAAATTAGGATAATTTTATTCACAGAGAAAACACAAAGCTGTTGTATTTTCATGAATATTGATTTTTTTCTAAAAAAAATTAGTGAACAGGTAATTATGCTGTCTCAGGATCTCTGTTACAATAAAAGCCAGTTAGTCTCTAGCTCTTGAAATTAAGATAACTACAAAATCAGCCTCCCAGAATCCTAAAAGTACTTGTATTCTCCTTGACTTCAGTATTAAATATTGTATAAAACTAATTAGATATTTTATAAAATATATCTTCTTGACACAGAAAGTAAATTCTGGATACATGATTGTCTCCTCATTCTTTCTATCTGCGGGGTGTCAGCAGCACTCAGAGGGTTCAAAAATATTCACCACAACAGATTTTACTTACTGGTATTGTACAAGCTTGCATTCTATTAAATGCTTGGCGTGAGTGTGCCAGAGGAGGAAATTCAGCAAACCATGTAATAAGAGAACATGAAATGTTGAGTTTACTTCATTACCAAGAGACTCATTAATCATAGCATCAGTTGTTAAAAATAGGCTTTCTGTTTATTTGTTTGTGTGTTTCAGGTAGACTCTCTATTATTTAGCTTTGACTGTTCTGGAACTCACTGTGTAGACCAGGCTGA